AAGTATACATCCCAATTTTCTATCCCCATTTGTGGGTAAGTTTTCAATCCCCGATATGCGATTTCGCCTCTCTCGCAAATCCCTAGACGCCCCTCTTGCATTGCTAGGAATTTTTCAGCCCTTGAAGTTCCCAGCCCGGCACTGGCAACCGACTGACCACACGCAGACCTGACCTGCCGCAGACCTCAATGGATGGTTCTCATGAAAAATCCCACTATGGATAACTGGGGTTACCCCATTTCAGGACACTTCCATATCTAAAATATATTATATATATAATATATATACATCTTTATTTACATATTATATGGGTAACTTATATGACGCGACCTCACGTCCTGACCAAAAAGGCACCTTTGACTTATACTTTGGTGAATCGAAAGTCTCAGGTTGGTGAAGTTTTGAAAAAGGTCAAAGATTTCGCTGGTAAGGTATAGATATGGGATAATAGATTGATAATAGTATCATTAACCAAGATATCAATTTTACTAATGGATAATAGATTGATAATAGATAGATAATAGATTGATAATAGATTGATAATAGATAGATAATAGATTGATAATAGATTGATAATAGATTGATATTAAATTAATAGATTGATAATAGGTTGATATTATATTAATAGATTGATAATAGATTGAAAATAGATTGATAATAGATTGATAATAGATTGATAATAGATTGATAATAGATTGTTAATAGATTGATAATAGATTGATATTATATTAATAGATTGATAATAGATTGATAATAGATTGATAATATATTGAGAATAGATTGATATTATGATAGTAGATTGGTAGTAGATTGATAATAGATTGATAATAGATTGATAATAGATTGATAATAGATTGATAATAGGTTGATAATAGATTGATAATGGATTGATAATAAATTGATAATAGATTGATAATAGATTGATAATAGATTGATAATAGATTGATAATAGATTGATAATATAGATAAAATTGATAATAGATTGATAATGATAATAGATGATAATAGACTGATATATAATAGATTGATAATAGATTGATAATAGATTGATAACAGATTGATAATAGATTGATAATAGGATTGATATAAATTGATAAGATTGATAATAGATTGATAATAGATTGATAATAGATTGATAATAGATTGATAATAGATTGATAATAGATAATGATAATAGATTGATAATAGATTGATAATAGATTGATAATAGATTGATAATAGATTGAATAGATTGATAATGATTGATAATAAATTGATAATAGATTAATAGATTGATAATAGATTGATAATAGATTGGTAATAGATTGATAATAGATTGATAATATATAGATTGATAATAGATTGATTGGATTGATTGATTGATTAGATTGATAATAGATTGATAATAGATTGATAATAGATTGATAATAGACTGATATTATATTAGTAGATTAATAGATTGATAATAGATTGATAATAGATTGATAACAGATTGATAATAGATTGATAATAGATTGATAATAGATTGATAATAGATTGATAATAGGATCATTAAGGATATTAGATTCATAGATTGATAATTTAGCATCATTAGTAAGGTAATCAAACCGGAAAATCACTATGAAATCATAGGTTTTTATCATCTATTTTCATGATCCATGTTCCCCTGGCAATATCGTTTTTATTTAATGGATATATTATGTTTATGGTAGATATATCTATAATATCCATAGTGATTAATTGTAATAACTATGGTTTGGGGTAATAATAGTGGTAATAATAAGGGTGAATATGGGGCAAAAAAGGTCACCAATGATTTGTAGGGGTCTAGACGAATGATGTATTAATGGCCTAAAATATTCTGTACAATCAGTATACTATAATATGATTATGATATGATATAAGAGGATATGATATGACTATAATGTTTATATAATTGTTGGCGTTTAGCCAACAATAAACCCATCCTCAACAAAGGGGGTGTATTGGCCATTGGGTTTAACCCCTCTCAAGAGTATAAAGCCACACTGTTGTAATTATCTACCACTATCATGGTTGTACCAGTGGGTTTACAGTTTTTCTGGTAAACCAATCTGAGCCACTAAAGTATAGCCAACTGTCGCTTGCTTTTGAAAATGAGTTTGTTACTACCTAATATCTATGTACACCTGGTTAAAACATGTTATTACAGGCGGATTCTGAAGTAAGCCATGATTTTTCACCGGAGATCCATCAGTATGTCATTGATGGAATCCAGGATCAGTCGCCTCGATTTCACCAGGGTGAAGTGGATGAAAATCTGCGAAAAAAGTGATATCTTTGTGGCTGAAATCTGAGATTGTCAGAGGGCATTTTTTTTGTGGCACAAAAAAAGTTGAGTGAAAATTTGGGGGAATTCCAGATTTTTTTTTCGCCATTCAGACCGTGATCAATCTCTCGTTTTTCCAGCGATGTGGTCAAGTTTGGGTCAAGGTGAATCAGATTGAAATATCTCGCGCATAAGCGAGCAATGCCCAGTTCAATGAGTCATGGGAGCATTGTCAGTTGGACCAACTAAGTGTAACTATATAACACAAGAATCAACATATCATCCAAGAGTTCGAAAAAAACTTGTTGCGGTAAACACAGGATCATAAGCTATCCCCAAGAGCGAGGTTTATTGGCTTTGCCACTTTTTTATTCGACAAAAATCCTGGACTCAACTGGGCACTGAACGGGCTTGCCTTTGCTGTGAGCTCTTTGAAGCAGAACTCTTGAGCCGTCGACGAGATGACTGGGGTGATATCTTCTGGGACGAATTTCAGCTTTTTTTTTGAACAGTTTGCCACGGAGATTGAACACATGTTTAATAAGTTATTGGGGTAAATCATCACAAATAATATACGTTAATGATAAGATTAATCTCTGATGATTAGTCTTCATATGTTGATAGAGTAAATCATCATAAGTAATCTATTTCTATCGGCCCTTTATACCATAACCATGTTAATTATTGTTAATTAATATCAGAAACCACTGACCGAAATGGGCATGTACGTTCACATGTTTTCTCACGGACCATTTGCTTGAGGCGATTTCATCATGAGCGGTGACTTTTTGTTCACGAACAACAATAGTTTAACCTCTGTATTATCGGGGTATTGTCATATCTACTATAATTTTATCTGGTCGCTGGTTTCACCTATGTTCACTTTTCCATCCTGGGGTGATCCACACATTGATAGCTAGTTGAATGCGAACGAATCGTTTGCCATATCAACGAGTATCAACGAGTATCAACAATATTTTTATTATATAATTACCTATAATACTAAGATAATTATATAATCAAAAAATCATATAAGGTTTTTTCTTTTTTTCTTTTAACCTGGTATCGAAGATTGGTGAGCCGGTAGCCATTCGTGAAAACAGATCAGGATTCGCGTGAAACTTGCGAAGCATTAAACAGTGCATTCCCCTGGGTTAGTTTCGTTAGTTTTGATGGCTGAAACTCAAAAACTCAAGTTCAAACTTGGTCAAAAGATGTTAAAACATTGAATGTTCGATACTTGAAACATCTTGAAAGCTGATTGATGATGAACGACCCGTACGCTAGGAAAATGCTGAGCACGTGCCCGCCACTCCCGCGTCCGGTCGATTTTTCCTTGAAATGCCGGTGAAATGCCCAGTAGGCCACGGTACAGTGATACATTTTGCGTTGGGAAGCTTAGGAAAAATACTGGTTGGTGGTTTGGAACATTATTGGGAATGTCATCATCCCAATTGACTTTCACTCCATCATTTTTCAGAGGGGTAGGTCAACCACCAAGCAGAATCAAAACTCCCCGTATAAATGATCCTCTCGAGGATGTTCTGGAGATTTCGCTGGCTGAGGAAAAGGACCCATCTTCGCAAGTCCGCAAGGCCAAATTAGTGGTCCTCGCCGCTATAGTTTTCTCATCTTCTAGTGCATGTGCTGCACTGGAAAAAATCCTCGAGTTTTTGGAAGTCTGGGTCAAATGGTAGGTGAATCGTAGGTGAAACAGGAAAATGTGGTTGATCTGATCTGTTTTTCCGCTTTTGCTGGATGGAAAATGGAACCAGCTGACAATAAACAATTTCTCTGCAGAGTATCACCATTGGTCATGAAGTACCACCACCATGTTTCAGCCAAAGGGTTCAACCTCTTGAGCGAACAACAAAATTGAAAAGCTTGGACTAACAAGAAACCCTCATGAAATTTCAAGTCATCTCCCTCCAAACCCGGCATAATACCGGTATAATCCGGGTATATAATCATGTAATACAGTGATGGGAGATACGTAAAGAACGGCGGCAATGATGAAATTGGCCAACTCATATAATTGTGCCAGAGCCTTAGTGACTCTTAGTGGAAGATGTTGAAGTTTCCGAGGCGTTTCTAGCAGATTTTCTTGGGGGTTCCATAGTCATGGGGGTACCCGAGCTAGATGGTTTATAGTGGAAAAAGCATCTATGGATGAACTTCCACAATTTTCAGGATTATCATTGGCCGTGTCTATCCCAAGCTGGTTTGTAGGAACTGGTCACAAAAAAGGCCGTTTAAGAAGTCTCCTAAGCGGTTTCAGTTTTCTGAGAGGTAAGGTTATTAGATGTGATTGAGGCTTATGTGATATGTATAGTATACATGGATATATATATATATACACATTATACATATATATATATATATACAAAAAAATACATTTTTTTAATATTGTGGTTGCTGAAATCTGGTTCAAGCCGGAGGCGCGGAAATAACGCCCACCGCGCCCGGCAGTCGCTACCGGTAGCGAACCAACTTCACCGACTCCATTGTTGTTTTTACGCCGAGTAGTACAGTAAGGCACAAGTTGGAGCACCTCAGATGTTTCAGATGTTTTATAGTTTTAGTCCGAAGAATTTCACAGAAACACAATGAAACACAAGAATTTCATGTCTAGAATCGTGAGATATCATGGATATGTGCACTTAACATGTTTGATGCTTTTGATCAGATTCTTCTCACCATGTCACATAGGTCGTCTTTACGTAACATAAACCGATTTTCGGGATTCGCCGAGCATCGCCCAGCATGGCCTTTGTTCGAGATCATGGTACGGGGGCGCCATTTGAGGGCCATGATGGGCCATGAATATCAGCATTTCATGGGAATAGACCGAGAAATACCAAGAATATGAGTATATTTGATGGTTTTTTTTTTTGCGGAGATATGTTTGGATTTTGATGGAATATTTCTGGAGATATACCCTCTGGTAAACTAACATAACTATGGAAAATCACCATTAATCATCATTAAATCTCCTTAAAACCCACAAAAAATCACCAGAAAAAATCACCATGAATCACCAGAGGCTAATCCCTTCCTATGATTTTCCAATCTTCAAATCCCATCCTAACATGAACCACCCTGATTTTATGGTCCCAAATATACAGTAATATACATACATAATATATATATATAATATAATATAATATAATATAGTATAATATAATATAATATAATATAATATAATATATATATATATCGCTTATATATTGTATATATATATGTATATATATATATATATCCCATAATAAATACTTATTAGTAACTATTAGTGGTAAAAAAATCCCCATGAAATCCCATAGCAACCACCAAAAATATTGATACGTCAGAAACCTGGAAATATGCATTCAATCTCATCGAACTAACCTTTTCTGGAACCAAAAAAATCGGCATCTTTTGGTGGGTATGTAAACTTACTGTGGATGGTGTTTCTAAATCCAAATCACTAGTTTTAATTGATTGGCATCAAATCCCATGATTTATAGGGTTAAATCCCATTAAATCCCATTATTTATAGGGTTTTTCCCCATTATTTATAGGCTTTTTCGTTCAACCATCCTATTTTTTGGTGGTGCAAGATTCGGCCCATCCACAGTATCAGAGGTACCTGTTGCATCTTCTTGCCCCTGAAGCTGGGGGTATCTTTGGTTGCCATGCTGTGCCTTGGCCGCAAGCGAGGCTTAAGGGCTGTACAAGATCCCACATACACATGGGTATGTCTGAAAATGGGGTATACCCCCAATTAGAACCATTTAGTAGGGATAATGATCATTAACCATTGGGTGTAGGGGTACACTATTTTCAGACAAACCCACATGGCTGCCAATATTGTGGTAACCCCCAAAGATGTCACAGAGATTAGAAGACAAAAAAAGTGTAACGATGTTTTGAAAAATGTCGTTTTGGGTGAGATTCATAAAGTCTCTGCCAGTTTTTTTTTGGATAGAAGCACATGTGTCTGGGATCAAAGTTGATTTTACGTGTCATGAAAGCAACCATCTCCACTAGTAAAAAGTTGGAGTGACTCAATCGATTAATTTTCTGATGTTTTCAATGATTTTTCATGGCCATAAATTCCCCACAAAAAAAAATATGGTCTGAAAAATGGGATTCTACCGTCGCTCCATTTATTCCATGGATCCTGAGGATCTCCCATTGATCTTGAGATCTGAATGGTGAATTTCCAATGGGATTTCTTACCAGAAGCCGTTGTTGTCGGCTGGTTGTAAGTCTTCCACACATCAGATGGTTGTTGGCTACAACTTTGGATAATGTAGTTGGATAATGTAGTTTTCCCGAATTTAGCCATAAGTTGTTATACTTCAGAATTACCATAAGCCAGATATATTTGTTTCTTGGAGAAACTCTGCCTTTAAGGACAAAACAATTCATGCGGTAAAGTTTTAAACGGTAGAGTTCTCTATCACTAAAACTTAACCACAAAATCAAACCTGTATCATATTGTTGGATATTAATCTATCATATTCCCATATCACAGCATCATTTATTAGCGGTTAAATTAACCCACCAGATGTCATTCAGAGTCATGCAGAAACTCTGGAAGAAGGCTAGCCGGCTAGCCCTCAGTTAGTTCTCCGTTCTCCAAACACAAGAGCTGTGCCAAGGGTCTTCATGGATTCCATCGTTTGTTTGCTGGCCACCTTCACCGGCGACATCCGGTTTCAGCCCAACGGTGCCGTGAATATGCCGTGGAGACGGAGCCGTTTTTGTTAAAGATTTCCAAAGCAATTGTGTGTTATACATAAACACATACCGAATAATACTGAATATATATATATTATATATGTATATGTATAGATGTATAATGTATATGATATTATAAATATATGATATATGTAGCAAAGAAATCCATTGCTGATGTTTTTTTTCCCACCCAGGTGTCGTTTTTTTCGCTGGGTTTTAACCAGGCATCCCGCGGCTCGCAGGGCAGCCATAAAATGTCACGATGTCGGAAAAAATGACGAAATGGTTGTGAACATGCATGTCAGAAAGATTTTCTGCCGGGGATCACTGGAAGAATGTAATTTAGTCTCTTATTCTTGGTGAAGATCAGACTTGAATCAATCAAACCATAGGTATTTTCTCAATGGACTGCCATTGTTCATGCCCTGTGTTCGGGTAGATTCCATGGAGCTCAGAGCTGTCCAGAAGCCAAAGTTGGCTGATTCATGGACTATCCACGGAAACCGCTGATTTCTATTGGATTATTGATACCCTCTGGTAAACTGTCACATCACCATGGAAAGATCCACCATTTTTAAGTCCGGTAAATCAACTATTTCTATGGGCCATCTATACCATAGCTATGTAACACATTACCAGGCCGGGTAGATGGGTCAAAACTGATCGCAACGCCACCGAGGCTATAGCGAGAGCTTGTACCACGTGCCATCCATTCTGGGTATTCTGGGTGTAGTCTTGGGTCCAGCCTGGCATGGTTGAGTTTCACGGTTACCCTCTGGTAATGACTGTTACATAGCGACATAGAAAATGGCCATAGAAATAGTGAGTTTTCCCAGTTTTCCCATGAATAGCATGGTGATTTTCCATAGTTTTTCGTATGTTTACCAGGCCGGGTAACTGGGAAATCCATGGGAAATCCACCAACAAATCCATGGCTATTTATATACATGGGAAAAGCCATGGGAAAAGCCATGAAAAATGGGAGATCTCCAGGATCCATTTTTTCATGGAGGTACGGTAGTACCATCTTTTCGACCATATGAATTGTGGGGTATATGGCCATTGATTTATTGAGGGATGTGTTCTTAGAATATGTTTTTTTTCTGGATTTCTCCCTCTCTACTGCTGCTTTGCTTTTCGGCTGTTTTTTTTTCCCTTGCCTGTGTTCTTCTTTCTTCTAATTTTGTTTGCCGTTTTTTCTGCTTTTTCTTTCCATGTTATTTTTTTGTTTTCTTGTTTCTTTACTTTTATGCTTTCCTGTTTTCTTGGCTTGTTTGCTTCGTTTTCTTCTTGCTTTATTTACTCTTTGCTTTTTCTGCCTGTGCTTTTCCATGTGCTGAAGATCATGCGAAAGATGTGGCTTGCTATACGCGCACTGTATATTGACCGTTTGGTTGTGGAATTTCCTTTTTTTGGTGGGATCAGGTAGATACTCTATTTTTTTGCTTCTTGCTGCTTTTCTATGTTTTATTTGTTCTTCCTGGTTTTCTGTTCAAGTCTCTTGTGTGTCCCTTTTGTCTTGTGCTTCTTGCTTCGCTCTGCTTGTTCCCGAATGCGTAGCAGGGTCTGGGGGTTGAGGGTGTGTTCGCTCGACGTTGCGTTTGTGGTCGCAACCGTCCGCAACCGTCCGCAACCGTCCGCAACTGTCCGCAACCGTCCGCGCTATCCCCGTATGGCCGTGCCTATGGGAAGTTTTGCAGAGGTGGTCCTTTTTGGAGGCTTCAGACGTGTCGTTGCTTCGTTTCGCGTGGCAGGCGTGGCACTTCGTGACATTCAGACGTGTTCTGCAACGTGTCGAAAGTCGTTTTGCGTGGCAGGCGCAATACTTTTCTGACGTTTTCAGAAGATGTGTTGCAGTTTTTGTGGCAGGCGCAGCACTTTGGACGTGTCCATCGTCATTTTTCGTGGCAGGCGCAGCACTTTAGACGTGTCGTGTTGCGTGTTTTTTGCAAATCGCATTGGCAGGGCTGCGTCAAGTGGCGACAAGGTGCAAATTCCGTGGCAGTCGTGGCATTTGGTGCGATGTGCTGAAAATTGACGGAAGCCTCGCACGAAACATCGATTTTGAGGTTACAAATTTTCAGGTTCTAAGGAAAACTCGTAGGAAAACGTCGATTTTGAAGCTACAAAGTGTGAAAATTGGAGGAAGTCTCGCACGAAATGCTCGTTTTGGTGCTCCCACCTGTCTCGTCTCGCGTCTCTGGTTTTCCCGTGGCCTCGCCGTGTCTATGGGGGAAGCTGCAAAACTTGTCCTTTTGTCATGTTGCCAACTGTCAAAATTGGAGGAAGTCTCGTACGAAATGCTGGTTATTCTGCATCCACATGTCTTATCTCGAGTCGCTGGTTTTCCTGTGGCGTCGCCGTGTCTATGGGGGAAGCTCCGCACTCCACACTCTACACTTTACACTCCGCACTTCACAATTTACACTTTAGACTCCACACTGTACACTTTACACTCCACACTTTGCACTTTACACTCCTCACACCCTACCTGAGACTTTACACTCCACACTCACACTTTACTCTCCACACTTTACACTTTACACTCCTCACCCACACTCCACACTTTACACTCCACACCCACACTTTGCACTCTTCACTCCACACTCCACACTTTACACTCCACACTCCTTACTTTACACTCCACACTTCACACTCTACACTTTACACTCCACACTCCACACTTTACACTCCACACTCCACGCTTTACACTCCTCACTCCACACTTTACAATCGTCACTTTACACTCTACCCTCCACACTCTACACTTTACACTCTACACTTTACACTCTACACTCCACACTCCACACTCTACACTTTACACTCTACACTCCACACTTTACATTTTACACTCCAAAATCCACTCTACACACCACACTCTACACTTTCCACTCCACAATTCGCACTCCACACTTTACACTCCTCACTCCACACTTTACACTCCACACTCTACACTCCACACTCCCCACTTTACACTCCACACTCCACACTCTACACTTTCCACTCCACACTCCGCACTCCACACTCCACACCTTACTGTACACTCCACACTCCACACTTTATACTTTACACTCCTCACTCCACACTCCACACTTCACACTCCTCACTTGACACTCCACACTCCACACTCTACACACCACACTCTACACTTTCCACTCCAGACTCCACACTCTACACTTTACGCTCCACACTCCACACTTTACACTCCACACTTTACACTCCACACTCCACACTCCACACTTTACACTCCACACTTTACACTCCACACTCCACACTTTACACTCCTCACTCCACACTCCACACTTTACACTCCAAACTCCACACTTTACACTCCTCGCTCCACACTCCACACTTTACACTCCTCACTCCACACTCCACACTTTACACTCCACACTTCACACTTTCCACTCCACACTCCACACTCCACACTTTACACTCCACACTCCACACTTTACACTCCTCACTCCGCACTTTACACTCCACACTCCACACTTTACACTCCTCGCTCCACACTCCACACTTTACACTCCTCACTCCACACTCTACACTTTACACTCTACACTATACACTGTACACTCCACACTTTACACTTTACACTCCATGCTTTCCACTTTACTCTCCTCACTCCACACTTTACACTCCACACTCCACACTCTACACTTTACACTCCATACTCCACACTCTAAACTTTACACTCCGCATTCTACACTTTACACACTCTACACTCCCCACTCCACACTTTACACTCCACACTCCTTACTTCACACTCCACACTCCACACTCTACACTTTCCACTCCACACTGCAGACTGGTAGCAAGGGAAACATGTATAAGATTGTTCAAATAAACTATTGCAGAAAGGTATTGTGCGTGACTGCATAACCATGTGTTTTGACATCTGTACCATTAACATACGTGTGAGCATTCGGGTTCGTGGGTTTCATCTTGTTTTTTCTTATTTCTGTGTCTAAGGCTTGGCTGCTTCTCGGCTTCCCACCTTTCTTGCTTTTCAGGTTTTCTGACCCTAATTATTGTTGCTTTCTTTGCTTTTCACGTGTTCTTACCCTTCTGCCTGGCTCTTCTTTGCATGATCTTTCTCACTCACTGTGTGCTCTCCTTATAAGTGTTCTGTTGCTTGTAACCACTGGGAGCCACTTGAATGTTTGCTCTGGTGCTGGATAACTTACTGGTACCACTGCGTAGTCATTTGCCACAGAATTTGAACAATTTTGGTGGTGGAGACTGGGGGATTTTGCAAGACAAGCGTGTTCCAGAAATATCATACAGCGGCGTCATGTTGCTCAATGATATCCTAGACTTGAATAGAATTTATTCACATGTGTTCGATCTCATTCTGCATCTCGATGCTGCTTCTCGTGCTGTTGCGTGACGGTGGTTGCAGTCAAGCTGCGTTTCGCCGGTGCAGCTTGTGGCCCGCAGAGCTTCAGAGCCTTTCCCCAGAATCTCTCCAGGGTTTCCCTTTGGGTTTTTCTTCGCCAAATTATATATTTACAATCGTTTGTAATATTTTGTAAGCCAATCCTCGGTATATGTTTTGGGGCCCGATTCCTTTGGCCTAACGGTTGAGCCTACAGTTATTTTTTTTGTTGAGCCAATGTGGATCTTGACTCCAAAAATGACCTTTCGGCACCGTTTCAGGTTCCATGTTAGCTAAACTTAGGGTTCCCCATTGAAACTGAAAGTTTGCTGGGAGAAAAACACCACATCTTTGGAGAAACAAAAAATCAATTCCTGGCCGAGTTCTTTGTATGTTCGCTGTGTCTGAAATGTCACAGAAATGTCTCACATTTCTGCATGGTTAGTATCAAAAGAGCACACCAGCTGGCTGGTGCTTTGGAACATGGCTTTTATTTTCCCCAATATTTAAGGGATGATGATCCAATCTGCTTCTTTTTTTTAGATGGGTTGAAACCACCAACCAGGCATGTTCCTGGATTTGCTGAGTGTTCTTGTTGATTCTCATTGAGTCGGCGGTGTTTTTTTCGGAAAATCATTGCGGATCCCTTCAGCCAATCAGCAAGTGCTTTCCGCTTAAAATTCCCAGATGGATAGATGGCTTGTCCAAAGAATTCCCAAAAATCCGGAGACTTTTCCCCAGAGTTTTCCCCATCGTTTACCAGTTCCACCTTAAGAATCTGAAGAAAGCAACCCAGATTCCCCAGATGTGTTTCGATCGGCCAGGCTTCACTGGACTCCTGGGTATTTACGACGACAAACCGTTCGCTGCTCAGCGATCCCCCAGCCTGAGATTCTCATTTTGCCATGAAAATAGGCAGGATGTTCTATCCATTTAAGGGTTGTTCGACCCATTGGTTGATTAATCAGGGGTATGTTACGGTATGTTCCATTAATCATTGGAAATGATCTGGGGTATGGATAAACATATATTAATCATTGGAAATGATCTGATGTTCTATTCATTTGGGTTGTTCGACCCATTGGTTGATTAATCAGGGGTATGTTCCATTAATCATTGGAAATGATCTGGGGTATGGATAAACATCCATTAATCATTGGAAATGATCTGATGTTCTATCCATTTGGGTTGTTCGACCCATTGGTTGATTAATCAGGGGTATGTTACCATTAATCATTGGAAATGATCTGGGGTATGGATAAACATCCATTAATCATTGGAAATGATCTGATGTTCTATCCATTTGGGTTGTTCGACCCATTGGTTGATTAATCAGGGGTATGTTACGGTATGTTCCATTAATCATTGGAAATGATCTGGGGTATGGATAAACATCCATTAATCATTGGAAATGATATGATGTTCTATCCATTTGGGTTGTTCGACCCATTGGTTGATTAATCAGGGGTATGTTCCATTAATCATTGGAAATGATCTGGGGTATGGATAAACATCCATTAATCATTGGAAATGATCTGATGTTCTATCCATTTGGGTTGTTCGACCCATTGGTTGATTAATCAGGGGTATGTTACGGTATGTTCCATTAATCATTGGAAATGATCTGGGGTATGGATAAACATCCATTAATCATTGGAAATGATATGATGTTCTATCCATTTGGGTTGTTCGACCCATTGGTTGATTAATCAGGGGTATGTTCCATTAATCATTGGAAATGATCTGGGGTATGGATAAACATCCATTAATCATTGGAAATGATCTGATGTTCTATCCATTTGGGTTGTTCGACCCATTGGTTGATTAATCAGGGGTATGTTCCATTAATCATTGGAAATGATCTGGGGTATGGATAAACATCCATTAATCATTGGAAATGATCTGATGTTCTATCCATTTGGGTTGTTCGACCCATTGGTTGATTAATCAGGGGTATGTTCCATTAATCATTGGAAATGATCTGGGGTATGGATAAACATCCATTAATCATTGGAAATGATCTGATGTTCTATCCATTTGGGTTGATTAATGATATTAGTGGAAATGATCTGTGGTATGAGTTGAAATTAGGTAAGAACAGTATACCTAGATGGTGAATACATATGACAATACTACACATTGGCTAAAATTGAATGTTTGGTTGACGTTCTGTATGGTGATTTGAAGTGTATGAAATTTGCTGAAATTCAAACAAAACATCAAACATCAAATATGCGGAGCTGGCAATTGTGGAGCATAATTACCAGCCAATGAGCAGAGGCGAGTTTGAATGAAATCATCCCAAACTTTCACATCCATAACTTGTAGCCACTTTGATCCCAAGGTTTGAAAATAGGCTATCCAGAATGATGGTTAAGTGTCATATTCCAGAAATGTTGTCAGATCTCGCTTTTTTGGGCAACCCAACCTATCAATGATGTGTTTTCAATTTCTTGCGTATCTCAGTCAAAAAGCAATCGTACAGGGATTCAAAACTGAAAAGACACTTCGGCTTGAAAATGGAGTACCCAATCCCAACATATTCCAAGAACGATCATTCCCATCATGTTCAGTATTTCATTTCTTTTTTTTTTCTACAAGGGGTGGGAATTTGACCCAAAAGCCCAAAACAAAAGTCCGAGCGTCCGAGCGTCTCGAGGGGTTGGCTGCAGTGGTTGGTCTACTTCTTGTTCCTGAAAATCATCGCCTTGGGCACCAGTTCCCTGGCCGACTTCTTCACCCTTCGGAAATGTCCCTTGGACGCGGACTCGCGGGCACGCGGTTGCACCATTTTTGTGGATTTTTATAGGGGATGAATCTGGTTAAGAATACGTTACTGTTAATGATCATAAGGTATCATAAGTGTCATGTACATATGATTTTATATAAATATGTATTATACACACATAAATATATATATATATGAATGATATGTAATGTATACCAATCATAAATTAATTAATATGATATCATTTTTTCCTTGCTATATCCCACTTTCCGATAGCACACTTTTGTTTCATCGCGAAACAGAGACCACTGAGGTGATAGCTGGTTAACCTCCGCCGAGCGGAGTGTGCAGGACGAGCCCAGATTTCCTGCAGATATTTTCCCCACCAAAAATCAATGCATTGGTTTAAGGGAAAATTTACAGGAAAACCCCTATATTTAATGGGAAAATCTATGGTTTCCTGTAGATTTTCCCTTAAACCAATCCATTGAAAAAACCAGTGAGGAAAAAAGACTGGAAAATCCCCACCCCCACAAGGACTGCATTGCCTATTTTCATCTATTTTCTCCAAGGTGAGCATTACCCGAGATCTTTTTGCCAGCGCCCTGTTTTTTTTTTTTGTGAGACTGAACCCTGGGATGATGATTAAGTAGATGGTCAAAGCTGATGGTGTTTGCCAGATTTTTGTCATTGGCGTTGATCAAATGTCGCGGACCATGTTGTCATTGGCTCCCCAAAGATAGGAAAGCTTAATTGATCATTCTTTCGCAGGAGCGTTGTTCTATTCTTTGGGGGTTGAGAACATCACAAGACATCATCATCATCATCATCATCATCCAGACATGAAATCTGTAGCTGTTCACAGAAATTGCGAAGTGATTCCACATCTACAGCGCTTTCTGCGCAGGAGAATCTGCAGCTGACGAAATTAGCCGAGGCTAGGGCCGACGGTATGAGCTACCAGCTAGGATCAATGGATAACCAAAGTATATCAATGGTACCAACTATACCATGGTATATAACCAACTATATAACCAACCATGGATCAATGGTATATCAATGGAGAACCATGGTATAACCAACTGATAACCAGGGCTATATTTGGGGCCAAGGTTAATAGGATCTTACTTGGGGAAATGGTTCATAGCCAGCCATGAAGCTTGTCATGTTTGCTGGAGATCTCAGATTTGCAATGCTCTTCCAGCCATGAAGCGTGAACAAGAAGAAATGCGTGTAGTTGGAGGCATAGATGTGCTTGTCAAACTTGTCAAACTGGTTGGTTGATAAACAAGAGGGGCAACCCGCATTGAACAATCAATCAACATGGAATGTATACGTCAGGGGTGCGCGGCTTGATATGTCTCCATGTTTTTTCGTGTTTGAATTAGGTATAGATAGGTATAGATAGGTATAGATAGGTATAGATAGGTATAGATAGGTATAGATAGGTATAGATAGGTATAGATAGGTATAGATAGGTACGGTTTGTTGTTATGCCACATGATTTGCAAATATGTTTGAATCAGAAAAAATGTTGTTTTAATCCAATGAATGCCATTAGATACCCTCTGGTAAACTGTCCCATAACTATGGCAAATCACCATTTTTAATGGGAAAATCTACTATTTCTATGGCCATTCTTCATAGCTATTTTGACATAACCAGAGGCTAAATCCCATTAATATCCCATTAATATCCCATTGAATCACTATAAAATCCCATTACCAGAGGGTAACCCACCATCTCAATATATGTTCATCCCCCATCGGAGATTTTTCAGGGAACCCAAGGGGTCCTCTGCAGGCTGGTGTCTGCCCCTGGGCACGACTCGCCTACGCACTGGGTGCCGCTGTGGTGCTTCTGTGCCGTGGTGAAGCAGTGGAGTTTGCAGAACTTGGAGGGGGACCCAACCTATGGCCATTTTGAATGGGAAGATGATCGATGATCAAAATCTGGGTAAATTTCATCACGACCTCACTGTGACCGAACCCTGGGAATCATGGTTAGTAAGGGAAATCATCCCCAAATGGCCGCAAGATTGAGGTTAGTGAATTATTATAATTTACCCAGATCAATGTTTCATGGCCATTTTTCATGGCTAGCAGTGGTAACATCATAATATCTAACATGAAGAAATTCACTTCAAATGATCATGGGAACATGATCATGAACCCGTGGATTTGGGAATATGGCGTTACCACATTTTTTCAGACTAACAAAAAATGGGACATTTAGATCAATTGAGTTGTTTCCATCGGACACCTGAGCCGGAAAAAATGGGGCTGAACTCTTGCCAGAATCCGGGATTCTGGCCAGAAAAATTAAGATTGACATGCCAACAAAAGCGGGACCATTTAAAGCCACCAATTTTATGGGGACTGAAACAATGAATTCACCACGAGCGGGATATGTTTGGCCGCAAGATGGGGGAATCATTGGGAAGTAGCATAGATTTGAGGCCCTCGGATTTGGGTGCCACCATGGGGTATACCACCAGTGTTGGCAATTTCAATTGGAAACATGACTATAAATGATGAAAGCTTGGAGTACCCAAAGTCAGGCCTATGTAAGTAGCCTATGTGCAGACAAGCCGCCTATTTGTGGAGATTTCAATAGCAAATGTTGGGAGTTGATCTGCTAAAGGACGATGTCCAATTGGCTTCATGAATTGATTCAAAATGATTACAGCATTTGCTGGAGAGTTCCCAGGAACCAGGGAGCTTGGGCTTTGGATCACAGTTTTCATGCTTCATTGTGTGGCCGGCCACAAAACCATCGAAAATTGGGATTTTCCTGAGGTTCTGGACCTACTGTGCCTTGGCAGTTTTCATCGGGACCAAAGAATGGGGTCATTGGGTTAGACATCTTGGGACTTGGGTCGCCAGGGTTTCAAACATCCCAATCAATTTCTCTACATTTCACTGGATTTTGCAGGGGTTGGTAACTGTCCCATTTTGGGAATATTGGACATCACCAAAAATAGTAGCCATCTAGTAGACCATATACCTAATGGTTGGGTGATGTTCAATGGGGACATTTAATGACCCATGTTTTGGCTGTGAACTTTTGACCATCTGACATATATGACATATACGACCAACTCATCTGAGATTCCTGGACCTAAAGTTGGCCCCCAAAGTTCTTCGATCCAAGAGCTGGACAAGTTGACACGGTGGAGGGGTGAATGGAGCTATTGTTATACTCAAATATATATATATAATATAATATATATATATAATATAATATATATATAATATTCCCAATAAAACATGGACAGTTGGAGCTACCAGTTGAGTTTCCCAACCACGTGATAGTTTAAGATTCAACAGGATTCCCGTTTGTCAAGGTTTTCCGCGCTACCGTCACAGAGTCACAGTACAACATATGCAGTGAAACAGATGTTAAATGCCTTTCCCTTGATATTAAGCATATCCCTAGAAACCTTGGTTGAGGATCTCTTCAATTTTTGGGTTCCCATATAAGGGGATATGTAACATCAGGAGGATTGTATCCATTTACATTTGGGAATTTTGGTAAACATTACCATGCTGTCTTGTCGTGCCTCATTTTTGCCGGTGGTAATTACCCATGTTGATTGGTTTAACACCCCCCTCTTTGTGCCATATATATATATATGCATGCCAATTTATTTGTGCGATAGATAGAAATTTAGGTCATACAGGATGGGGCCCCATAGTTAGCGAAGTTGGTTTATAACTATGATAACCATAGTGTATGATACTTGTAACCATATTTAGATGGAGTTATAAACTAACTTATAACTGGGGGGACCCATCCTGTAGTCATCAATCCATATTCAATTTTGGATTTATATTAACCAATGATTCCTTTGGATGCCCTTTATATTAACCATCGACACATGGCACTGAATTTGGATCTCATGACCTATCCGATCCTTTAAAAAACAATAACGTTGGTGGATTATCTCCACATTTTCCCCATTGAAACCATATATCATCTGGTAAATTAACAGTTGGACCCTGAAAATGACCAATTTACAGTGGAAACTAGTCTTCCAAACCCGATGACTGCCAGGGTCTATGTTAATTTACCAGAGGGTATCCAGCACCTTTGAAACCTGGATCCCCAGACGCTATCACTGGATTTTTCCGCTGGTTATGAGGTACCTATTTCACCTGGGTCTACTGGCAGCAGCCTCCACCTGAGATAGACGAACACAGAGATGCCGAGTCGCCGGTGATGGAGAAAGGGCTAGGCTGATATAGGCGTAGCCATAAGACATGCAAATATACATATAACATGATCATACCCATATACCCACAAATATTTTTTTTGCTCGGCCTTTTAGGACTTGCCTGTGGCGTTCGTGCAATACCTGTCAGTCAGGTCGTTGTTAGACCGGCTGGTAATCATATATATATATATGTATACATATGTATATGATTAGTTCTTTAACCATGAAAAAATGGTGGATTAGCCATGAACAATAGTGATTTCGGCACTGGATATGGTGATTTAGTGGATATGAACGGGAGTAGAATGGGATGTATACCCTCTCCTTGTCAAACATAGCTTGCTGGAAAATCCACCATTTAGTTCGATGATTTCCCCAGCTATAAACCTCCATTCAGTTCGGGGAATTCGCAGCTAGCCACATTTGATGACTGAAGTTATATTAATGGACATTATAAGTCTATATATATATATGGATTAGATGTATAACCAACACATACCACCACTACATGAGATGATTCGATCCCCATCAGGTATCCTTAAAATGGGCAAACATTGACAAGGACTTCCTGAAACCAAAATTTGATCATCTTCAGTACAGAAATCTTATCCCATTTGGTGGTGTCAATGGGGTGATCTTCCATAAACCATCCAGCTATTGGGGAAAACCCATGGTAGAAAACCCCCCAGTTATGGTGGCCAGGTTAGAATGCAATCCTGCATATCCAATCGACTTTGGCGCTGGGGTGGATCGACGTTGGGTTCAGTTTCACGTGAAGGCAACGAACAGAATCAAGTTGAGAGGGTGAAGCAAGAAGTGGCTATGGATCAATACCTATACATACCATTTTTAGGGGGATAGGGTTTTGACCCATCCCCAAGTGTTAATCATCGAGTGGTAAACGGGGCTCCAAAAAGTGGGAATTTATGCTGATTCACCAATGGATTTTTTAGTGGTGTAGACCCCTGCAAATGGCAATTTGGGTAGATCAAATTATGATAACATACATATATATATATAATTTATTTTCCCAATGGGATTCACGGGGGTCCATCCGTCCATCTTTCGGAGACACCCATCAGCAAGCGGTGACACCTCGCTTTGTCGAAGATCCCGATGACCCAACCTTTTAGAACACCCAAATGGCTACAGGGACCCCAGTAACCGTTAGCTAAGTGCACACACCAATTTATTTGTGCGATAGATAGAAATTTAGGTCATACAGGATGGGGCCCCAGTTCATTAGCTAAGTTGGTGAACATAACTATAATAACCATGTTGTGTATGATACGCAAATAACTATTTTTTGGGGTTATAAAGCAACTTACACAACTGGGGGGTCCAATCCTGTAGAAAAGTGGACAAAATCTGAAAATGATGGGGGGAACATCTATAACAATCTGGAAAAGCTGGTTTGGGCTTCTTTTTTTGGTGGTGGTTAAACTCCATCTCCATCCCTTCCCCCCACAAACTAGCCTTGTTTACAACTGGAATGTCTTGTGATCGATTCATTTTCGGGCTCCAAAACAGCAAGGCCCCGGTGCTCCAGCCGGTAAATGATCGACAGGACCCAAGGCTCTCTGAACATGAAGAGGGCCAGCCGTTGCTTCCCCAACACCTGATGCACGAGGAGAGGGACCCATCGATATGTTCTATATCGACCGTATCGACCCTCAAAAAAGATCTGAGATGATCCGAGTAAACTTGTGTTTTTATTCACTTCATACTTCTTCATACGTCTTCTATCTTTTCAGGCTGTTTATACTGTATATATATATACATATATATATACACATACTGTATATATATATATACATATATATATATACATATATATATAGAAACTGGTATATGTTACTATGTACACTGCACTTGGACTCCGTCTCCTGTCCCCGGGATCTCATGGCTTGCGAGGAAGAAGCTCAGTATGGCACGCAGAAGTCGAAGCACAGCGAGCGTTGGGGGAACCAAGTGAAACACGCTGGGAACCCATCCCCTGGGGTTGAAAACATCACAGACAATTGGGATGAATCAATAATTTTTCATGTGGAAGGGGCAATGAGAATTTGGATGCTAACAGGATACTTAGCAACAAATTCTGGATGTCTTTTTCACGATTTTAATGAAAGATATTTCGATTTATGGAGATTTGGTCGCTGAACCCTCCTCGAAATGTATGGAAAAGACTTCGCAGACGGGGAACCCGGGAAAGCCATGCCCAAAAAAGGGCTATGGTCCACCGTGTGCCCGGGCCCGCGGCGAGCCCGCGCTAGTCTTGGGCTATAGTCCACCGTGACCTTCAGCCCGTGCAACACTAGAGACCGGCAACAGCAATGCAAAGTAATGAAAACATTCGCACATTTTGAGACATTCTGAGCAAATTTGAAGAATTTTGAGCATTTTGGAGCCGTTTTTGTGGACCAGCTTGGGTCTTTTCGAGCAAATTTCAAACAATTTTGAGCATTTTTGTCGGGCAAGTTGGGGTCATGTCGAGCAATTCTGAGCAATTGTTGGAAGCACGATATGGCATTGTTGACCTTAGACAGTGTTCAAGATGTCTCAGTTGAGGCTGCTTTGAGACATCCTACTTTAGCTGAAAAAGGTAGCTGATGTAAACCCCACGGATCTAGACCCTAAAAGGTAAGGGCGCCTCTAAGAGGCCGTGTGTTTCAGCACATGGATATGTTTCTATTCAATTATGTTCCAAGGTTTTGCCACAACGAGAGCGGTTTTTCACAGATATCTATATTTTGCGGGTGTATCAAAAGTCATGGAAGGGTATGGAAAAATAAGAGTCACGGTGTGATTTTAATGGTTTTTGTGGGACGAAAGCCATCAGCTTGGAAAAGACAGCGTTACGCGTTTTCTTCTGCGTTGCCGACGTCTTTGTTTCAGCCGCTTTTGCGGCCAAGCATCATCAACGTATCATCAACGCATGATCAACGTAACATCAACGTATCCACAGCGCATGATCAACGTATCATCAACGCATGATCAACGTAACGTCAACGTATCAACAGCGCATGATCAACGTATCATCAACGCATGATCAACCTAACGTCAACGTATCATCCACGTACCATCAACCTAGCATCAACGTATCAACAGCGCATGATCAATGTATCATCAGCGTATCATCCACGTCGCATCACCTTGCACGCAAGAGATACATGAACGTTATTGCACCCCCCCACCCCACCCAACCGCAACAGTAGCATCAACGTCTCCTCAACGTAGCATCAAAGTATGATCAACGTAACATCAACGTAGCATCCACGTCGCATCAACTTGCACGCAAGAGACATGAATGATATTGCACCCCCCCACCCCACCTCACCCCACCCCACCCCACCCCACCCCAACAGTAGCATCAACATCTCCTCAACGTAGAATCAACGTATGATCAACGTAACATCAGCGCAGCATCCACGCCGCATCACCTTGCACACAAGAGACATGAACGTTATTGCAACTACCTGCCACCCCACCCCACCCCAAAAACCTCAAAAAAGCACGGCCTCTTAGAGGCGCCCATACCTAAAACGAGACCAGTGAGTATTATAAAATAGCCTCTGGAGAAGTATTATGAAATATTAGTTTTTTCAAATGGGTTCAATTGGACAAACCTTGCGGTGCCAGCATCCTGGGGTCATCAATTTGTGAGGATCCCACCCAAAAGTGCACTGAAAAAATGGCGTTGTAGGCGTAGGCTGGGATTTTGTGAATGCAAGGTCTGATTTGACCCATGGGATTTTGTAGAGCCCGAACTGACCTCTACTTTGCATGACGGCGCTCATGAATCGCTTTTCTGTGATTGTACAGAAACTTGGAGTTTTGGAGGGAGCAACAGGCAAGGGTTCAGTCCACACGGAGAGGTTAAGATGATTTAAGTTCACTCATTTTTTGAATCTTTGGAACTTCATACCGCGTGACCATGCCCTTTGATTGAATAAAACACCATAGCGGACAGGGACTGTGCTGCCTGTATCGTGCTTCCATGTGCTTCTTTCACTTTGTTAGTGTTGTCCCTTCACCTGCATGTTCCGGGTTGTGAGATTCTATGTCAGCCACTCCTCTCCTCCTTCTTGTCCTCCTCGCCGCGCCTGACCTCAACCGCAAAACCCGGATCAGAGTGGTGCCCGCCGGACCTGGATCACAAGCGCCTGGGTGAGATAGAATGCCACACTGAAAGTGAGAAGACACAATAGCCACGTATGCCAGAAAGAATTCCAAAAGAGATGCCATAGCATGGCAGCCTTGAATTGTCAGAAGTTATGCCAGATAGACACATATGCCAGATAGCACGCCAAAAGATATGCCAGAGAGAACGCGCGGGTCCGACTATGTCAGTTTATGCCAGAATATATTTGAAAATATTTGTTGGATTGCCAGAATAAATACCGGAAAAGATTTGCTAGACACAGATGCCAGACAGAATGCAAGAAGATATAGACGATAAAATGCTGACCTGAAAACCCTCGGGCCCGCGCGGGCCCGCGCAAGTCTTGGGCTATCAGGGGACCTATGTCCAAAAAAGATGGGACAAGAGAACTCGCTAAACAGTGCTACAACGATGAAACAAAACTAAAAAGTAGAAGTGGGACCCATTCATGTCCATTTGAGTTATCATCAGAAATGGCCTCAAAAAATGGATAGTTCACAATGACCTTACCATGGACCTCAGGGGACCTCAGGATGCTTGTGATTCCAACTCGCCCAGACTATGGTCCTGATGGTCAAGAAATGGCGGATTTGGAGGGATGATCGACATAACGACAGCAACGAGGAAAATTTCGGGTGACGACCGACGTGGCGCGGGGCCGGGCCGTGGCGCTTGCGGGCGCTTGGAAAAATGGTGTTTGGAGGTTGAAAAGATGTTGATCATAGATCCTCAAGTCATGGGACTTCAATGTAGACCTCAATTTTTGGGGGACCGATGAAATACCGAAATGTGATGGTGATGATGGACCGAAAAGGCAGCTACCTGGAAAAAGCGACAGTTTTTAGGTATTCTCAAAGATGCCATGGGAGTCTAGGTCAGACGTTTCTCCCCAACTCAGGTTCTCCAAGGACATATGATGAGGTCCTGAGGTCATGTTCCAAGGTCTTTTTGTTCAATGGCAGCTGAGTGTACTTTTCAGACATTTAAAAAAAACATTCGGAGTAAACTAAGGTTAATCACAGTTCTAATTGCCACTGTTTTTTGTACACAAATCATCTACAAATCATAGATGTATGTGTGAGAAGGGAAACCGTGACTCCATTTTGACTGGCGAAGACTTCATGCGTGGCCGGTGCTCGTTTGAGTGGAGTTTTTGAACTCCCACTCAATGTCAACCCTGGATTAATAAACCCTTAGGCTGTTCAATTGTGGGGGATTACCGTTTAAGTATTGGATTATGACCATTGGAGGAGTACCCCCCTAATAAACCATGGTTTATGAATCCGGGGTTGACATTAAGTACATTTCTAACCCTACGCTGATTTTTCTAAGTGGAAATCGTGATCTTTGAGGTGTTCAATGGATTCGTGGACCTTTCAACATCATTCAGCAAAAAGGTGGAAGAGAAGTTTTGGGGCCCTCTTTTAACACCATTAATTAGGATATATATTAGGTATAAACCCATGATTTCTATTCAGGATAAAATGTGTTTTTTTTGTCAACTTAAGATCATTTTATGGGTCTGTCTGAACATGGGAAAACTTCATCCAAACAAATGGCTAAATTTCAATGGGGAATTCATGATGATTCACCGAAAACATGAATTAGCCAATTCAATTTTCAGACTCCTCCTTCCCTGTTTTTATATTGGACATGCCAAGATCCATGATTTTATCAGGAATAAAACATGATAAAAAACTTTGATGAGTTTCATAAAACTTGACAAATCCAGATCTTTGGAACCGCAAACCATGGGGATTTTTGTTGGGCAACGGGGAATCCAGCTCTGTCATAAATTCACCCGTGGTGATGTTCCGTGGTGAATCCGCCGTAGGTGGAAAATTCACCATTTTTCAATGGGAAAATCAACCAGACATGGGTGAATTCCCCCATAAAATGCTGAGATTGTTATTGATGATTTTCGCATCAAAAATAAGAAGCTCCGCATTGAAATTGCGTGCCTTGGGGATGTTCCAGCTAGCCACGTTTCATTGCCAGCGGATCTCGCAGCCGGGCTCAAGATGCATCGCTAAAGCGGCCAGATGGAAGTGGAGGCACCGTTCCACCGTTCCACTGCGGGGGCACGTCCAGTGCATTGAACATCAATGGTGTAGAGTTTTGCCTCAAAAATACGACAATTTTGGCCTATGGCCTATGTCATTTGATCGGAATCAGATGTGGAGAATGTGGAGCCCCAGGCCGACTCAATGAGTTCAATTTCCCACTTGGGGCCTCCAGTTTTTTGCCGAACTATCCAGAACTTGAGTGTTGGGGATGTCAATTCCGTCATGCAGAAAGATGCTGGGGAAGGGATAGATGGAGAGTCATGAATAAAGTTTATTGACCATGGTGCGCTCCAATCTTTGCTCCGGTCATCAGGATTTCGTGTGGCAGCTGAAGTCAAACTGCCAAAGTGCAGTAAAAACAGCCCTGCGGAATGAAGGGAACATGAGAACAGCCACCTTTTCAACAATTTTTCCAGCGTTGGAGCCCAACACCAAAAGAGAAACCATAGTCAAGCATCCAGCTATATAACCTCTGGTAATTTGTAACATAGCTATTGAAAATGGCACATTTTTTCAGTGATTTACCCATAAAAAATGGTGATTTTCCAGAGTTATGGGACAGTTTACTAGAGGGTAAATCACCATATGGATAGGCTTCAAAAACAATCCCTTAAAACTTCTCCCACACGCTGCCTGGCAGCCGCTATGGAGCTGCCATTTCAACAGGATGGAGGCAGACATGGTTCTGACTGAAAATGGAGGATTGACCCACCAGAAATGTCAGGACTCCATGATGCTAGCCAGTGGATCAAAAATAGAATGGGCTACCCCATGTTCAGACCCTTAATATAGGCAATCTACGTCCGTGCCATGGTTAAAACTTGGGCAATTTGACTGTCAATAGGGTGATGGTCATCAGTTCATGTTCATTTCGATTACATGGAGTTACAGGCCCATTATGTATCTACATGGAGATAGATGAAGGTTTCCTAAAATGGGGGTACCTCCAGATCTCATCCATTTTTTTTCGGATTTTCTATAAGCCATCCAGCTATTGGTGTACCCCATTTTCAGGAAAGCCTCATGCCATGCGGCTTGGCGAGTGATTTCAGCACCTCAAGGACAATCCGAATGATAGGGAATGTGTGTGTATAATTATGTTATCAGTTATTACATAAATACGATTAGGTATGTCAGTATATTCAGGATCACTATTATTATTATTATTATTACTATTATTATTATTATACATACATACATACATACATACATACATACATACATACGTACGTACGTACGTACATACATACATACATACATACATACGTACGTACGTACATACATACATACATACATACATACATACATATACACATGAATGTTATAAATGTATATATATATATAGTATATGTACATTGAAATATAGATAGCCCAATGACATTTCTCCATTTAACTCTAACATCTCCAAGAAACATCGCTAGGCAACTTGGATCCCAATGACATCCCGGCAGTCGTGGAGATCTATTCCAAAGCTGCGGGCAAGTGGTTCGTAGGCTTGGTGGTGAAGCAGGACGGATGAATCGCTGGGAATGCTGGAGAGGGATGGATCGTTTGGGAATGCGTAGTGGGGCAGATTTGGATGGGATTTTGATGGGGGAAGAGTGAAACTATACCAGCTATACCAGCTATGACTTCGGGTGCCGTTTGCGTAGTTTCTGGTTGTTGAAGTTTCTGGTTGATGGCCATTCAACAATAAGGTTCCCGTGATGATAAACCATAGGATTCAGCGGGGTTCCAAGTTTCAAGATGGGGATGTTGCTGTGGAATGAAGAAACATGTCAGATTAGATGTAGCCTCTGGTAAACTGTCCCATAACTATGGAAATTGGCCCATAGAAATAGTTGATCTACCTATGAAAAAGATGGTGTTTTACAGTTCGCTATGGGACAGTTCACCAGAGGGTAGCCGGTAAATGGTAAACATAGAAAAAGATCTACAAATGGTGGATGTTTGCCATGGAAACCGTGGCTGGCCATGGGTAGAGCCCTTGGGGCCACCATATGCCATTGCCATTTGACAAGAGTGATGCTCCAGAGGTATGTTCCCTCATCATCTTGAAGTGGAGTTTTTCCAGTTGCTTTCAATATGCTTTCCCAATATTATTTCCCAAGATTATATAAGCTTCTTCGGTGATGTCCAAAATCGACAGCTCAAATCGTGTTTTCTTTGGTCTTTCCAAAGTGAAGGGACGGACCCTCGGCTCCAAGTTAGAAATCACCATGGGAATTCTACAGCGAGTCGGCTCGCTGTGGCTTCATCTCTTTTAGATCTCCCGTATGGAAGCTCTTTCTTAGTCTTAGAGCTCGAATCCAAAACAACTGTCAGACAAAATAGTGGAATATCAAGGAATATAAATATATATATATGGTACAATCATGGATGAATCACTCGTGATTTTTTTCCATGAACGGGAGATGTTTTCCATGACTCATTGTCAATTAATCCATGGTCATTAATCCATTATTTAATTATTTACCCTCTGGTAATTTAACGTAGCTATTGAACATGGCCATTAATAGTGGATTTTCCCATTAAAAATGGTGATTTTCCAGTTCGCTATGTTAGTTTACCAGAGGGTACCATCAACGGAAAATTAACTATCATCACTATCATCACGGTCCATGGACTTGATATATGATTGATGAACCAGAACAATTCCATAGATTCACCCAGCCAGACTGGGCCTTTTTAAAAGCCTCAATTAGATTGGATATCAAATGATATCAAATATGCAAATTGTACTTAAACTAATGTGCAATGTTCTAATTGATGTATTGGATCAGGATGGGGAAAACCAGTGATGTGAATGTTGGTTTACCATGAAATAATCCCCATGAACACTAGTTCGTGAAATATCTACCATAAACCATGGTTTTTTCAGCCACTTTTTTTAACCAACGGTTCACGCTATTGCTCGACTGGGGGCCCTTGATGTATCCTGATGGTCATCAATCCCGAAGGATTGACCCTAATTTTTATCGATGATACCCTCTGGTAATTTGCAACATAGCCATGGAAAATGGCTCATTTATAGTGGATTTTCCCAGCTATAAACCTCCATTGATGGTTGGGATTTTCCATGGCTATGTTAAATAACCAGAGGGTAAATTTTCGTCGGATTCCCACAGGGATGGCCAGGACGAACTGCAACGCCTTCTGACCATCCGTTTTTTGGACGACCAGAACGAACGACACTCGTCCGGCGCGGCAGAGTGGTATTTTTTTGTGGTCATTAATGGTGATTGAATGGGTTTTAATGAGATTTAATGGTGATTAATGGTGATTTACCCTCTGGTAAACATACATAACTATGGAAAATCACCATTGTTAATTGGTAAATCACTGAACAAATGGGCAGTTTTCAATAGCTATGTAACAAATTACCGGAGAGTAAGCATGGTTTTTCAGCATGGTAGAACCATAACAATTCGATTCGTGGTGCGGTGTCCCCGAAAAGGGAGATGGTCATCCGGCCGATGGTAGGGAATTTCTTATGCTGGGATTACCATAAGCCATATACCAGATTTTGACCATGGCACATGTACATATATATATATATATGTATACCCATTATGCGAGCATCATTTTAAACATGTTGAATCTTGTTGTAAACTGTGATGGTTTTATGTTATAGTGTTATATTATTTCATTATCATGGGATATGTGGGTGAAAGTATGATTTTATGAATTGTAACGACCTCACTGCAACTGCATGCGGCACTGGAATGATGGGATTGGGGTAACGGGGTAACTATCCCCAGCCAAATTTCAGGTTGGTTTACTATACTCTCGGGTAAAAAAAAGCACAGCAATAGAAAATCCCCCATTTTCCCTCTGGTAAACATACAAACAGCTATTGAACATGGCCATTTAGTTTGTTGATTTTCCCATTCGAAATGGTGATTGTCCATAGTTTTTCGTATGTTTACCAGGCCGGGTAGTTTGAAGGTTATCTCATTCAGCCATGCCCATGTACAGTATGGGGGGATTTGCCAGCCCGTGTTTGATGATACCCAGCTGGGTATGGAATCCAAATTTTTCATTAAAAGACCATTAGCGTATTCCAATTTTAATGGGATCCCAATTATCAATTTTGGGATATTAATTGGGATATTCCCATTTATCAATATCCCATTTATCAATATCCCAAATAAATAAATCCCCAGATCAAATGGACTTGTAACTTGATATTAGCTTGCCATGTAGGGATCGACAAGAAGTAAACTTTATAGTAGCAGAGCTAATATTCGTTCTCAGTTCATATAGTACTGTAACAAAATGGGTAACCTAGAATGATTACCGAAGCTATTATTGTTTTATATTCTAAATTTAGTATTGGGTACTGTAACCCGGTAACATTGGGTAACTCCAAGTCAAATCGTTTCGAACATCAGTTCCCCTGTTAGAATTGCCATAACTTCGGGTATACCCCAATTCTAGGCAAACCTATTTGGAAACTGTCCCTGTAGCTAAGTTGTGACCCACAGATCTTTGCCCAGGAAAAGAGAAGGTGTTGAGTTACGATGCACCCGAGGCAACACCATGATGACATATGACGACTATGTCGTCACGATGAACCCTGTGTGATACTATAAAGTAATATGGGGGTTCTTAAAAAAGGGGAAACCCAAATCCATTGATTTTCATATTCTAATGGGGGTTCATATTCTAATGGGGGTTTTGGATGATCTTGGGGTACCCCCATTTTAGGAAACCCCGGATACCGGATAGAAACCTTGGATACCTTGAAAATCGGGAAATGTCATCTACTTCCTATTGGGGTGTGTGTGTATATATATACGTGTATATATATATATACACCCTCTGGTTATTTAACATAGCCATGGAAAATGGATGAACATGGCCCATTTATAGATGTGTTTGAATGATTTACCTATTAAAAATTGTGATTCTCCATAGCTAAATATGGTGAAGCCAGCAAAAAAAACGATACCTGTTTTCATATTTACAATCTTGAGGGGGTCACGAGGCTTAACGGTTGGTCTTTATGGATCGGGCTTAGTTACCACAGTGCCCTTAGTGTGTTGGGAAAATCTGCAAGACAAACGTCTTCTGTAACATGTCCTGTAAATCAACCATGACTGGTTAGTGGTTTGGAACATGTTTTATTGGGAATAATAATCCCAAGTGCCTAATATTGGGAATCAATGGATATTCCATTGATATTAACAATGTAAAAACAACAATCAACCATGGATATTTTTCCATATATTGGGAATTTCATAATCCCAAGTGACGAACTCCATCATTTTTCAGAGGGGTAGGGCTCAACCACCAACCAGATCGCGTCACGGATTTCGAGCCATTTCTTCTGAGGATTTCGAGCAATCGCAGTGTTAGTAGCAGCAAAAACGATGTGCGTTACCCTCTGGTAAACTAACATAGCTATTGAAACTGGCCATATATAGTTGATTTTCCCATTAAAAATGGTGATTTTCCATAGTTATGTTAGTTTACCAGAGGGTATCCATTTATTTGGATTTCAGCAGTGTGGGATGTGGAAACCGCTATGATACATCCGCAATTGTCAGTTGTTGGAAATGTAAAGTTGGAAAGCTGAAACCCAATCGTGAGCTTGGCGTTTGATTGATTATTTCCAGGGTTGCATTACCATTTATATATTGGGGATTGTCATAGTTGATGAACTGAGAACCACCATGATCAAAACAGTATTTTTGGATTTCTCCACTTGCATTTGATTACGGAATCCGCATTATCTAGTTATAGGATCCTTAGGAATTATGACCTGTGTGAACGATCGTTATTTGGTAATCGAGTAAACAAATCCATTACATCAATGGGAATTTCAGGATCCTAAAATGGAGGTACTGTACCATATAAGACCATATTTTGTGGGGATATTCCCTTACATAGGCCTTATATAGGCCTTACATATGGTAGGTACCTCGGATTTAGGTTCCTGAAATTGCCATTGATTACATGCCATATTCTGATCCATTAATTTTTTTGATTACGGAAATCCCCGTTGACCAGCGCTCGCCATTATAATCGTCACTCACCATGATGATGATCAATAGCTTTCAATTGTCATACCAGAATCTTGACTACAAAACGGGAATCCCCATTGACACCGGAAATCCCGGTTGATTCATAAGCCATACTCGTAGTATGTAATGCTACCCATTAAGCCACTAACTATCCGTTGAATGATCCATACTCATCAATTACCTCATATTACAATCCTTCAACCTCGCCCAAGCCGTTTTTGACCTTGGCATCCCATCAGCTCCTATATCTATAAACCATATACAATATTATACAATGTTACACCACAATTATATACCATATTATACCCCCAATTTTATGACTAATAACATGTGATAGTAACCCATTCTTCCTATTATACCCAATGGTTCACCCTTGAAAAACGTCCCATCTGGTATGCCATCTGGTATGTAAAATTGTATATTCCATGAATATTCCCATGTTTCTTTGGTAAATCTCCATGGAAATCCATTAAAATCCCATAATAAATACCATAAATCTCCATTAAATCCCATAAATCTCATTAAATCCCACTAAATCCCATAGAATCCCCATGGAAATTCCATAAAATCCCTATGGAAATCCCATAAAATCCCCCATTTTTCCATGGTTTTCCAACCGATCCAGGTGGATTATTTCGGTGCTCACTTGGGTTGGCCCACGCCTTCGGGCGTGATCTCCGTCCCCTCCACGACGCGGAAGGGACAGGTCTCGTACCTGGATCCGGAGCTGAAGCAGAAGTTTTTCAGCGGCAAAAAACGTGGGAAAAATGGCGGATTTCGCTGGTGAGGAAGGGATAGATATGGAATAGCATCATTAAGGATAAGAGATTCATAGATTGATAATATCATTAACCACGTAGTAAGGGATACCCTCTGGTAAACTAATGTAGCAAACTGGAAAATCCCCATTTTTGATAGGTAGATCATGGTAAATCAACGAACTAAATGGTCATTTTCAATAGCTATGTCAGGGATAGATTGATAATTTGGCAACATTAATGTGAGTAAAACAATGTCATAAACCACCCATGACTGGGAATGGTTGGAATCCCACCTATTTATGGTGATGACTGGGGGATGGTTAGTAAGGGATAGATATGGATAGACTGATATAGACTGATATAGATTTTTGAATGTTGATGCCAGTTTTATAATCCCTAATAAACATCTATACCCTCTGGTATATGGGAGAATAGATTGATAGTATCATTAAGGATAATCGTTTCATAGATTGATAATGTATACTAAGGGATAGATTGATAATAGTATCATTAGCCAAGATTTAGTCACACATTTGGCGATTTCTTATGGGAGTTAATGGAGATTTTATGGGACTTTAGAGCTGGACTAATTATAGTGACCTCACGTCGTGACCGAACCCTCGAATCATGGTTTATATGTGGGATAATCCTCCCCAATAGAGGCTGAATTTCAGGTTAGTAAAATCGTATCATTTATCCAGATTTAGTCAGAAATTCGGGGATTTTATGGAATATTTGATGGGAAATTCATGGATGTTTTGGATATTTTCCATGAGATTGCTTTAATTCGAAAATTCTACCCTCTGGTAAACTGTCACATAGCGAACTGGAAAGATCCACCATTTTTAATGGGAAAAATCCACTATTTCGATGGCCATTTTCAATAGCTAACTTTGTATGTTTACCAGGCCGGCTATGAGTTTTCGAATGTGACTCGACATGTGACTTCAGTGCATGTCTCAGCTTGGGATCATGATCCCATCATCGTCGCTTCACTTGGATCCACTGATACACCATGTAAAAAACCTTAGTTTAACTGGGGCTAAAGTAATATCATAAACCAGCCATTTGAAAATTTTCTGATACGACCTATCAGAATGGTGATGACTGGGGGATGGTTTATAGCCTTGTTTTACCAACATTATATCATATTCTCAAGGTCTCCAGCAGACTTTTTTTTTTCCCATCCCAAACAGAATTGTTTTTTCCACCCGTGCCGTTGGAGTCAGTTGAAATATGGTGATAGCTTGTCGTTGGCCTCCGCAATTTTCCATGGAATGGAAAAGTAGCACTAAAGCTCTTCCTCGTGGATCTACCCTCTGGTTATTTAACATAGCCATGGTATAGATGGCCCATTTATAGTTGATTTTCCCATTAAAAATAGTGATTTTCCAGTTCGCTATGTTAGTCATAACCAGATGGTATTTTGCGATATCGTCTCACCAACGAAGAGTTACCTTCAAAAAATCGGACCTCATTTCCCATAGGATCCATGTATGCTGTATATGGTAACATGGATCCCATCAATATACCCCCAATGTTAGCATATATACCAGCACCATGGATCCTATGGGTTTTGGGCTGCTGACCTGTCCAGTTTAAGCCCTTCATCCCCGAAGTGAATGGCCGTCGTTTTTTTGTTTCATCCCCCTAACCAGCATGGTGACTGGGGTGGTGTTTAACATGAATGGGGGGAAGGGTGATATTTGCATTAACAACATTCCAATACATATATATATATACACATCATATATATATACCATATATATATACATATCATGATATACACATATTATCGGTTGTATCTCCATGAAATCCAATTTTTTCATGGTTGGCAGATTCAAAGAGCTGACCAGGTTTGCCACTCCTGAATTGGCATGGCAGGAAGCTTGGCAGCATCGCTTCAGCATCGCTTCAGTGGGTAAGAAAGTAACAACCAATGTAACGCATGTATAGTTATATGTATTGTATTATAGTATCATGTTTCTAAAAATTACCATATTGTATTTTGAATTAGTCTATTATTTTTTATATACTATTGTACACTATGGTATATTATTATACAATAATATGATATACATAGCTGTGTACATAGATCCAATGTTTTTCCAGCCGTCCAACTTCCCAGCGATAACGTCCAACTTTTTGTGAGATAACCACTATCATGAAAAAATGCACATAGGGAACCCAGAAATACCCTATAATTATTCATGGCAAACTTATGGGAATATAAATGGGAATGGGAATATGAACGGGAATAGATATGAATGGGAATATGAATGGGAATATGAATGGGAATATGAATGGGAATATGAATGGATCCCCTTTGGTAATCAAAGATGGTTTGCTGGAAAATCACGTAGTTAGCTGATGTTCCCAGCGAACAAAACCTCCATTTGGTCCGGAATTTTCCAGCCGGCCATGTATATCCAAAGCGTTAGCATATGCTGGCATACTGTTGGTTATATGTATATATATATATAGACATCAATATTTCTCCGTTACATCCTAGTTTGGTTGATGATACATGTACATCAAAATTCCAAGGAATTCTACAGAATTCCTACAAAATCGCCACTTTTTTCCACCATGTGACGACATACCCTATGATCTTCCCATCCCAGGCCTATTTGGAACACCACCTGAGAGGCTTCACAGCTCGGGACACACCATGGGTGGAGAGTCCAAGCAAAAAGTGGCCTGGCAGCTTTGGAAAGGAGTGATTCATGGGAAGATTTGGTTTCTTAAATGGGGGATTCCCAGAACCATACGTTGAACCATAGGTTTCAATGCCTAGTCATGGTCGAATTTTGATGATTCGAGGCTACCCCATTTCAGGAAACCGCCGTAAAACACCAACAAACCATGAAGAATTCGTATTGAACACCGGCAATTTTTTGGGTGAAAAAAACCAGCAAAACTTGAGATTTAACCATGAATAGTGGCTATCCAACCAGCAATCATGTGTATTTGATGATTGTTCGATGGGGAGTTGCACCAGGAAATTTTTGGGTACTATCAAAGGGGTACAATGGGGGTTGTGACAAAACATACATAAAGCTTCAGGTGCAAAGATTTGTCAAAGCACACGTCTTGAAGGTTTTTGTGGAACTTGAAACTCCCCCCAAACAAATGATTGGTTTTGGTGTTTCTTGTTCCCTGCAACTTCCGCACGGCTACATACAAAGGAAGCAACATATGTATGAGATAGAAGAAACAACTCCAAAACACATTCGCACCCGTATCAGCACCCACTTCGCACCCAAAAGCAATAAATTACTCAAAGGCTCCTCACTGATTATCCTAGATTGACAAAAAAATCAATTGATCGATTGGTTTCTGCGAAAAACAAATCTACGCTTGTTTTTCACAATCAAATTTGCAGCAAAACGATTTTGTTGTCATATATAGATGTTGTAGGACTAGCCAAATTTTTATTTACACATGATACAATCAAAAGGTCTCGGCTCAGATCGCCCCCTGTTTCTGAGCGACCTAAGCGGGTCTGTTCACTCACCCGCGGGCTTGTCCTTGTGCCATTGCGACTCGCCTTTCTGATCGGCCTGCTGGATTGCCTGATTTTTGGCATTGTCTGCTCCCGTTCATCAAGGTTACAGGTTCTGCGGTGGCCTTTGATTACACCGGTTGGGTTAGGGTCTGCGGTGCCCTTTGCACACCGGGTATTGGTTACAATTTTGCATTGACAATTGAGTGGCTTTTGTGAACTGGAACCGCCCTGCAATTGCGACTCTTTTCAACAATTTTGGATAAGTTTTTTCCTCCCTGTAGCTGCCGTTTGATTGGCCTCCAGGGCTGGACGATTTGTATTTGTGATTTTCTTCTGCGGCATTTTCAGTTTTTGCAACAGGCTTCTTGACGTGTGTCAACTTAGCTGTTTGAGTGCGATTTCTGATTTATGTGCTCTGTCTTGCTGATCCTACTCATCTTCGTTGTTATCTTTGATTTGGTGAAAGATTCCGCCATCCAAGTGCACGTTGAGGAGGCAGGACAGGCGGAAAAGGGCGTCTGCAAGAAGAAATTGGTATTTACATCGGAAAGGAGTCATCACATTGAGCTGCAAAGCCTTGAAAGGTGTCAGAAACATTCTCAGTGCGCACCACTCGAAAGATCCCGCCTTTTTACGCAGGATTGTGAAAGAGATGGATGCCCTCGAGGAGACTTACCCTTGGAAGTGCAGTTATTGTGCAAGACTCAACAAGAAGATACACACCACGTGCACCAAGTGCCGTGCACATTGGAGCACAGGAATACGCCACAACACAGAACCAAGAGGCAAAGAGACGGCTTACAGAACAGATACCTGGGACAGCTGGGATGCATGGGAGCAGAGTGCGCCAGAATGGGAAGGTTCATCATGGAGTTGGCGGGCAGCTCCTTCGACCCCAAGACAGCGCACACAGAGCCCACGTGCAAGACAAGGAAAGGGAAAAGGGAAGGAGAGCAAAGGGAAAGATGGCAAAGGGAAAGGCGGTGCCGAGTTGGTCGGCTCATCGCCCTTTGCACCACTTGCGCCCTCAATTCCACCTTGGCCCACGACGGAAACCTCGGGTACATCTCTGTTTGCGACCTCCAATGCGTCAGCAACAGCTGCGTCGTCCAGCCATACGACACAGGATGTGATTGCTATGGCGGCTGCCTTGAAGGAGGCTTATCCGGACGAAAAGGCAAGACCGGAATATGTGAAAGCTCTGATCGAGAAAGCCGAAAGAGAGACGGCCAAAGATGTTGCAAAAGGATTGCATGCAGCGACGAAGGCCCTCAGTCGAGCACAGAAGGTCCTGCGCGAGAACAACGAAGCCAGGCAGCACCACAAAGCTCAATGGGCCAAGCATGTTGGAGAAGCCATCCAAACTTGGAAATCTCAACTCCAAGAATTTCGCAAGCAGCAATCTTCATTTCAAGATGTTTCAATCAAAGCCAAGAACGATATCGATGTTGCGCGCAATACCATTCAGGAGTTGAACGCCAAAGCTGCCAGCACTGGCATTGCTGGGCAACCTATCCCCTCTGCTGTGGAGGAGGACACAAATGCAGATGGAGACAAAGAAGAGGAGAAACTGAAGAAGGACATGCAAGCAGTCCTGCAAAGCTGCGCAACTTCCCTTGGGCTCGAGTTGAGTTCATTGAAAGAAGTGCAGGAAGTACCATCAGAGGAGGAGGAAGGGGAACCTTCCAACAAAAGGCCACGTTCTATGGAACCATTTGGAGGCTCGGCTATGAAATCGTGAGCAAAGGCGGTGTATTACCAGTTCAGAGTAATGGAATGCACGACGCCAGACCGCCGGTGGTTGCCGCCGTGAGTGCTGCAGTTTCTTTGGATGAAGAGCTCTGCACAGGCAACTTCTCTCTCGCTGCGGAAGATGAGTTTCGACTACTTCCATGGCAACACTCCATTTGGTATGAACCTACGTTTCTCTACCCATTTGCAGCAGTTTTACGAGCGCAACAGATGACATGGGAAATCATTCGAGAGAATTTTGATTTGGTCTTGCATGAGCTTGTGACATATGATCCTGCTCCTTATGTTTGCCCATTTGTCTACTCCAATGTTTTGCCATCACGACCTGACAACGACCTGATCTCATGCATTTCTCAGGGACCTGGATCAGCCTGCCGAGGGAAAAAGCAGATTGGTTTCCATGATCGTATTGATTCGTATATTGGGGATTGTCAGGAATTTCACATGAACCATACTCAGATGACAACTGACTTGCTTTCAAGGTGGAAAGCCAAACCTTGGAAATTGAGACCCATCGCAAAGGGTGTTGCTGATGATGACCCGCTGTCCGCCCATGGGGCCGTGTTGATCTCCAGCAGCACCAGGCCACGGCAATGTCGACTCACGGATGAGCACGATGCTATTCCGGAGCGTGTAGCTCAAGCTAGCACTGCCTTGCCAGGTGTGCCTGATGGACACAGAAGGTTTCCTCCACCTACGTTTGTCACCAATATTTTTCATCTGCCACATGTGCTTGCGTTGCCTGAGAATTTCCTTGCCGAACATGGATTTTTGATTCGCACTTGGTACCTGCATCACACCCATTTTCCACGATGGACGGTCCCCAGATTTGTCGAACTTAACCATGAATGGCAAGGATGGCAACGAGAAATTGCAAGGGCATGGCGTGATATGATTGTAGATCATGATAATGTTCACTTCCACACAGTCACTCCTGATCCTGACAGAAGCTATATACCAAGACAGATCATTGCTGATGTGATTGTCTCTCAAGAAGGGGCCGAGGACGATGAGGAAAGACGTGCAGGGTTGCTTACTGTTTTTCAGCAGGATGCCCAAGGCCACCGCAGGCCATATGCTCTAGCACTGTCCCTTCCTGAAGAATTGAGCGGGGTTGGCTTGGCGAATGTAGCTGACATTACGCATCTCTGCAACTCTGCCATGTGCCAATTCTTTTTTGGTTGGAATGGGATCCCTTATTCCCTTGTGCCCTCACATCACATGTTGGACGGACATGGCCTTGTTGGACACATTACTCCACGTGCCCGCCAGCAAGCTGCCGGCTCCGCACAGAATAGCCGGTTAGCTCAACAAGTACAGAATGATGGACACAGTGAAGCTGCTGCCTCCAGCCATGCGGGACATGCAAGGGACAGTCATGATTTTGAAGATGAGTCGGGACACCTCACTGACACATCGATACCAGGGTCTTTGACACAGTTTGAAAATTGGCAAGGACTCCAAATATACAGACTGGGACGTCCCTTGGTCCACTGTTTTGTACGCTGGGGCACTTATAATGTCATTTTGCATGAAGTTGCGCATTTTCTTGGGGAACATTTGCGTAACCTGATTGGCATTAATCATGTTCAATGTGCTCTTGTAGGACAACATGAAGCTGAGGAGTCCATCATTCTGCAGCAGGTGGATGACTTGTTGCCTGGATCCACTGAGCAATTGATTATCCTTGATGTGGAAGTTCATTTTCAGATCCCCCCGGCGGGATTTCTTCGTGCCCCCGAAGTTACTAGGAGGGTTCACAGAGTTGTCCCACAATTCACCAGAGCATTCGTTCTACGACTTGCGAAGCTGTCCAATTATTGTTTCCTGCAGGGTGACAGATGTATTGTGTATTTCAACCTTGAAGTGTGGCCGGAACAAGATGTCAGACTCCGAAATGTGCAACATGGAGCATATCTCCGTGTAGTTGCTACACCGCCACTTGATGCCACAGTTTCCACTGAAGTTGCTTTGAATTTTGCAATATCGGTCGATGAAGACGAAGCTGCGGCTTCGGCGGACTGCACTGCACAACCACGGGCAGGAAGGGCCTTAGCATTGCATCAGACTCATGCTTTGCTTTTGAAAGATGTTGCTTTGCCATCAGCTCTTAAACTGCCATTTAGTCACCACACTGGATGGGATGCCAAGACCCAAGCCTTTGATTTGCATTTGCCAGCGCAAAGAGCTCTTAGCTTTGCTACCCGGAATGCCCAGCCCTCTGGATGGCGAAGTTTGCTTGCACATGCTTTCAATACTGATGGGTTTGTTGAATGCACTGAGGAGGGGTTTGTTGCATATATCACGACATGGTTTGTTGATCATTTGCGCAGTCCTCGATGTGAAGAAAGCAGATCTGTTAGGTTGGTTGGCACCAATATTGAAGATTGGCCAGCACAGATTGTTGACGTTTGGCATGATAAGATCACCCCTGG